CCCTCCCCTCCCTCCCTCCCTCCCTCCCTCCCTCCCCTCCCCTTCCCCTCCCCCTCCCTCCCTCCCTCCCCTCCCTCCCTCCCCTCCCTCCCTCCATGGCATGATTCCGCAGAGAGGAGGAAGCGGAGGCGGCCGTAGAAGCAGAGGAGGGGAAAGGAAAGCTCAGATCCTTAGAGTCTATCATGCTGAGCAAGCGTGGGGAGCTCAGGGTCATCCTCCTCCTCATGATTGCCATGGGGCTCGGATGGCTGCTGATACTCGCTAGGATCGCTGATTCCATGTCGCCCGAGCCACCAGGCAGGACAGAGCAGACTCACCTCAAGGAGGAGAAGGAGAGGGTGAAAGGGAAGCTCTCCTCTTTCTCCTCAGCCCCTGCCTCCCGATCATGGCAGATGATGGAGAAGAGCCTGGGTGGCTTCGTGCCCAGCAGGGACTGGAGCAATCTCACCCATCTCATAATGGTTGCCGGCCACACGGTCTTCATGGGCACGGACTTTTCGAGCGCAGGGTCGCAGGGGGATCGATGGTTCCTGTACGACTACCAGAGGAATCAGTTCGACTGGTTCCTGCAGCACATCACCGCGGGGGTGAAGCTGGCCCAAGAGGATCCCAGCAGTCTGCTGCTCTTCAGTGGGGGGGCGACGAGGATGCTCGCGGGCCCGAGGACGGAAGCGCAATCTTACTGGCTGTATGCAGATGCTCAGGTTCATCTCGAGCTCAGTGCTTGCTGGGCAGTCACGTTTGACTCCAGGATTGGTTTCTGGACCCGTCGAAGTACACTCGCATGCAGATTGAGAGCCTCAAGCACAGAGTACACACGGAGGACTTTGCAAGAGACAGCTTCGAGAACTTGCTCTTCAGCATTTGTAGGTTTCGTCAGCTAACGGGAAGGTATCCCGAGAAGATAACAGTCGTCAGGTGAGATGTTGTTCAAAGTGTTTCAAGATAGTTCTTTCTCACTTGTTGATACGGCGAAGCCTACCCTTCAAGGAGAAGCGATTCCGCGAGATCCACAGGTCACCTTGCTGAAGCTCTTGCACCATCGTCTGATGGGTTAATCCACACTAGGAAGGCTCTCCGCTTCCCCATACACCGATTCGAGTTCGTGGGGAGGGGAGGCTCTCCCCCAGCTGCTGTCGAGGGAGAGCTCCGGCACTCGCTGACCCCGTACGAGAGGGATCCTTACGGATGCAGGTGACTCCCTCCCTCCTTCTATCTGCACATTTCCGTGCGTTGATCGGATACTCAAGGGGATCCTTGGCCGAGAAGCGCAAGTCACGGAACCCCTTCAACATGGCGGTACCATATCCCCAGGTTCGAATCATGCTGTCCTGCAAGATCCCTGCAAAACTTCTCCACTCCACGGCATGCTTGCTGAAGATGCTGCTTTCCCAGGGCTGCGAGGAGTTGACTTCGCTCTTCAAGTTCTGCGGGACCAACATATACTTCGGGACCCTCCCCTGGGACCCATAGATCGATCAATCGATTCCATCGGTGTCCCTTCTTGTTCGCAGACGGTTGACGATCCGCCTGAACGATTTTGTCAGACGCACCCACAGATATTAATTGGATGTATTTTTGCTTTCAATCGCAATGCACGCTCCTTACCTTTCAGCTTCCTCTTTCCTCGCCTTGCTGTATGCATCCTTGTCTCGTTCCATCCTTAAAGTATCTTTCAGAAGCGAACGCATATCAGACCAGAGGCTGTTGCTCCGGCGGTCTCTCCTTTCATTCGTTCCTTCTTGACCACTTTTGGTGGACAAGTTATTCGCGTCCATCAGATCTCTGCCTCTTCGGTCATCTGTGGCTCGTCCTCTTGCTTGTCCCGTCTTCTCCGCAAATGAAGATGATCCCCAGCCACGTGATGCTTCCGAGCTTTCATCGGCAGCTGCAACATCGCCAGCTTGGACTGGAACAAGCATCGGACTGTTCGATCGCATTGCATCCGTCGGATCCCCATTCTGTAGTGTCAAGTCCTTGTATTAGTGTCATGTGTCTTGCAGGAAGTTGTCAACAACCTCTTCCTCGATACCGACTCCATGTTGCCACCATGGCTTGGGAGGGGAGGTGTAGAAATTCGTTATCTGGACGTCGTTCTTGGTCAGTCAGGGGTTCGCAATTCATACCAATGACCTCACTTTGGCAAGATTAATGGTTTCTCCGTCTTTCAATCGTTCTTCTGCCCGAGAGGCCAGCCTTCTTTCCGTGTTTAAGATCCGCCTTTGCTTCTCGATCTTTTTCCTTTCGCAATCCATCAGTACACGTGGAGTCGCAATGAAGCATTTGCAAGAGAGACATTGCTTTTCAAAGCAGGCAAGACTCATGATAATCACCTGATATTCTCAATCTCTTGCTTTCCTCTTTCATAATCCCTGCCCAATTTCCGGTTCTCCTCCTCAACAGGAGTCGTGGCATCAACTCGCTTTAAGAGGGCCTGGAGGAACGTAGATGCAGCGTCTTGGCGGCGCGAACGAAGAGCAACGGGTGGAGGAGAAGCAGGAGAAATCACCATGGTTACGATAAGGATGGCAGGGAACGAGAGCATGAGGATTGGGAGGGCGCGACCCCACCATCCAATCCTTTTCGCCATGTCCCCTGCGCAATCGGGTGGGGCTAGCTTTGAAGTATCGGTGTTGCACTATACTTTTCTTAGTTTTTATCTTAGGTATACCCCAATTTTACAGTATTTACTAGGGGTGGGTAGTAAAACATGGCACACACACAGACTGGAATCTTGGAAGTGACGTGTGGGGCAGCAACCTGTCAGCTAGATGATGGAGGGGTAGACAATCTGAGGCGGACATGTACTAACACGAGAAGGAGCAGGCGCAAGCAGGAGGAGGGAGAGGGAGAGGGAGGAGAAGGAGAAGCGGCTGGGAAGGAAGGAAGCACACAGGGGGGAGGAAGGAGGCTGAGGGAGGAAGTTAGAGGAGGGGAGGTAGGAGGGAAGTGAAGAAGGGCAGCAGCGACAGCAGCAGGAGGAGCGGGGAAGTGGGAACGATACCAAGCAACGGGGATAAAGATAAAGGTTTGCGGGAATTTCGACTTCGGAGAGATGAAGAAAGGATTCCTATCTAGTGCGAAGAGTGATACAGATGGATCAGAACAATCGATCCATGCAGACAGCAGCGGCAGCAGCCCTGCAGCAGCAAAGAAGAAGACAACATCGTCGTCATCCTCGAGTGAGCAGCGGGAGGCAGCGGAGCCCAGCGTCAATCTCTCGAAGCAAGTGCCTCGTTTCTCGCTCGGCCCCGTCCGCAAGAGCCCAGTCGCATGCCTGGTGCTTGGGATGGCAGGCAGCGGCAAAACGACGCTGATGCAAAGGATCGCTGTTCACATACACAACCAGCAGCTGCCATCGTACATCATCAACCTGGACCCTGCAGTCAGCTCGGTTCCTTACGGTTGCAACATTGACATCCGCGACACAGTGAATTACAAGCAAGTGATGAAGGAGTACGAGCTGGGACCGAACGGGGGGATCTTGACGTCGCTGAACCTCTTTGCAACCAAGTTTGACCAAGTCATGGGGTTGATCGAGCAGAAGGCCGACAGCCTCCAGCATATCTTTGTGGATACTCCTGGACAGATCGAGATCTTCACTTGGTCTGCTTCTGGTACCATCATCTCTGACATGTTCGCTTTCTCTGTTCCCACTGCATTGATCTACGTGGTGGACACTCCGAGGACAACGTCCCCGGTGACCTTTATGTCGAACATGCTCTACGCATGCTCCATCATGTACAAGTTCAAGGTTGCAAGTTGATCCTCGCAGTTGTCTTGTCTGAACCTTGCTTCAAGCTTCCCTTCATCCTCGTCTTCAACAAGACCGATGTGACCTCGGCCGACTTCGCCATGTGACCTCTTTGCCCGTGTTCATCTGCACAGCCTGACATGGATTTTCAACTTGCTGCGTGTGTAGCGATTGGATGACAGACTACGAGAAGTTTCAGGAGGCTGTTCAAGACGAAAAGGCGTATGCTGGGACTCTGTCAGCCTCTATGGGGCTCGTGCTAGAGGTAGTTGATTAAGGCCGCCCTTACTCCACGCTCACATGGGGCAGGAATTCTATCGGAACATCACGACTGTCTGCATGTCGGCAGTCACAGGAGAGGGAGTCGAGGTCCTGACGGTCCTCCGTGTAGACATGAGCTGATGTGCAACTCAGGATCTGTTTGACAAGATCGCGCGGGCAGGGGAGGAATATGCGAATGTGTACAGACCGATGTTGGAAGCCAAGTAGGAGAGGAGGAGGGGACGACATTCTCTGCTTACCTTGCGAGCAGGGCTGAGGAGAAGCAGAAGCGTGAAGCGAAAGCTACCGAACGACGATTAAAGAAGGTGAAGACATGCGGAGGCTGGACCCGGGGCTCCTTGGTGTGAATTTGCTGTAGATGAGGGAGCAAATGGCAAAAGTTGGAGGATTGGACAAAATCAAACGTCTGCCTTGTAACCTCTTCTTGAGATCAAACCGTGACTTTGTCAAACAGCTCCCAAGGAGGACGATGAAGAGGATGAGGAGGAGAATGAGTTCAAGGCGAATCCGAAGGGAGGGTTTGCAGCCTTTGAGCCCGACAGTGACGAGCTGGACGATGGAGAAGATGACGTTGAATTTGCGAATCAGGTCAGTTTGTTACTTCTTCCCCCTGCCAAATGGATTCTTAGCGCTGGACCTTTCAGGCCAAGGAGGGGCACGCTCCAATTGATCTCATGGAACATCTGCGGATCCGTCAGAATGCTCAGGTCGACCTCCCGACAAGACTGACTTGGAGGTTCTGACTGGCTGGCGTTCTCCGCAGAGAGGCGACGAAAGCGACATGCACGCCTTGAACGAGATCCTGAGCAACGTCAACGACGGGAATGTCCGCATCGACTGAGTAGGTTCAAGACATCTGCTCCTTCTACGGTTTAGAACTTTTACTTTTTTTTCACTTTTGTTGAATTAAAGAATCATATTTTCATCTATAGAACAATGAATAAACTTGCTTGCACAGGGGCGATACCGGCGTGTCTACAACTATACAGTCACCCTGTGCACTATAACGAACCCCTCCTCCTCCTCCTCCTCCTCCCTCTCCTCGTCTGCCACTAAGGTCCAAGACGACTTGTCCCAGTATTCATGCGTCTCTTCATCCCATCCAGTATGAACCTCCTCATTACTGGTTTCTCCCCTGCATCCAGAGAAATTCCGGACGATCTTTTTCACCCTCCTTTGATTGACAATCCAGTCTGGAAAGCGATCCTTCAAGGCCTGCGGATGAACGATAAGTTTGGTATTAAGCAAAAAGCGAGGGACATCGTTTAGAACACAAAAAATCGAGTGAAGTTCAAACTCGCGAAAACTGTACCTGATGCAATGCCTTGGAAGTGCAAAGCTTCGGGTCTCTGAAGAGGATCCTGAGAGCTTGTACCAGCTCCTCCTCTTCAGGAATCCGTTCAATGGGCTCTTGAGTCTTCTTGTGCATGGCGTTCACGTTACGATGCACCGAGCTTGATCTTCAGGCCGAAGATGACCACGGGAGTATCACTCGTTCAAAAGCTTGAAATCAAGCTCTTTTCCACTTGTTGTCCAGTAATCTGGTTGAAACGAACAGTTTCGATCCTCCTTTCGTTGCCTATCTCACCTCACCTCTCCTCGCTCTCCTCTTCCCGCCTCCCGCTGCGCCTGCTCCTGCCCTCCATCGTTGCAGATCTACAAATCTTATACCTTCACCACCAACCCCACCCCAATTTCCGAAAACACAAGACTACCCCTACCACCAGTTCTAGCAACAAGTCCCACCACCCTAGTAGGATCAAGACTACGAGGTTTCAAATGACCCTACCCCAACTGTTGCTACCCCACCCGCTCACCCCCACCCCTCTTGTTGCAGGCTCAACGCTTCTGGAACAATACTCCTTTACTTAAATACTACCCCACCCATTGTACCTGTGACATTAACCCACCCTTCAGAACACATGTCTCAATACTATGACCCTCAAATTTTCCTCTAGACCCCAATTATCCCAAGTTGACACTACCTAATACATACACCCCTACCACATCAATTGATTCAGTACCGGTTCATTTGAACTCTGACCCCTCTAGATAGCTGACTACCCTACCCACTTCCAACAGGTATCAGGTTATGTCTCTTCGTTCAAACCAGACCCAACAACAGGACCCACACAGGCCACTACCCCCTTGCTTTCAGCACCCTACCTTTCAAATGGTCAAATGAGGACCCCTACCCTTAAATTTCAACAAACTCAGAGCTGCAACATCTAAAGACTTCCCCTCATTGGAAACAACCCTACCCCTATCATACATCCACTCACCCCCACCCCCCAGGTAACCCCCGTTCAATTCATTACCCTCACTTCCTTGCCGAAAACAGGCGCAAACCCTTGCAAGCCCTTTAAGAAGGGAGGGTGGTATAGTTGAAAAAGTATGAGAAGAATAGTAAAATATGAAATTTGCATAGGCTAAATTTCAAAATACTCTATACAAATTGAACATTTGTCAGTTTCGAAAGAATTTCTTCTCTCGGGGTAGGTAGGGTGGCCGGTAAAATATTAGTAAAACAGGGTGTAGGTGTAGAGGACCACCGTACAACCTATGCAGAATTGGACGGGTAGTCAGTGGGTCGGTACAGGGGGTAGGGTTCGAGTTTGAATGTTTGAACTACGCCGCGGCCGCCACCGCGCCGGGCCCGGGTACTACCGTAC